TTCTTCATTGTTAGGCGAAAAGAAAGGAAAAGAAAAAAAATTTGATGACACTGCTTACCTTTATGATTTCTCTTTTCAATGAGTGGTTTAGACAAATGTAAGAAGCTATGCAAGTAAAGGCATGAAAGTATTGTGAAAATGTCAAGATAAATCAGTTTAAACTAGAGTAAAAGTTATATCGAAAGTTAGCTGAAGTTAAATCGATAAATCTTTGCCTAACGCGGTCTTTATGTGAAAAATTTTAAAGGCGTTTAAACAAAGCTGTGTAGTATGCTCCGACGTCTCACTCAAGCCACACGATGGAGAAATTCAATCATAGTAACTTAACTGTAATGTTGTGGCGTTCATTGTCGTTTATATCAGGTTAGCCTTGTTAATGGAAAAAGGGAACGGTCACCCTGCTGACATGAAGTACGTGTTGAACTGGGTGTAATCTCCTTTCACATGTAACTTTTGCGAAGGATACATTTATGCCCCAGAATGAAAACATCCGGTGTTTACCTATAAAGCACACTTGAAATAGAAATAAAGACGATGTGAAGACACGGGTGTACACAATTTTCATTTCACTTATAGTTTTCGTTTTCAAGCACGCATAACTATCAGACTTGTTTTATACAAATAAACTTCAATAGAATGGATCTAAAATATTATATTCATCGGGGTTATGAAAAGAAAGTCCGTTGAGAAAGACAGAGAGAGAGAGATAGAAATATTGCTAATCGATTCTGGAATATATGTAGAAGTAAGATATGCCATATGCCATATACCATAAGCTAAAAAAAGGTATCCGAAATTCATCTTTAACATAATTACATAAACTATAGGCTTATGTTTTATACATAAACTTTAATGAAAAAATTCCACATAATACGTTTATATTGTATAGCGTTCGTTAGATAGAGATTTTTGGCATCACAAAAGTATCTGTTATAAGACCCAAACAAACATAACATACATATCTACGTAAATATATAAATCAATAAAAGAACGAAAACGAAAACTAAAACTACCTGAGGAAATGTTTACAAAAGTGTGCGCTTCGCTTCATCAATAAAGTACATACCTAAGCAAATACATAAAAGTTCGTACACATATGCACGTATTTCATGATTGTCTGATCAAGATAAATCTGCGATTCTCTAAAAGACAAAAAAAAAAGGACGATTTAAAATGAAACACAACAGAACGCAACTATTGAAGAAAAGAGAGAGAAAGATTGCTTTTGGAGTGCGAAGGAGAAAGCCATGAAAAATGATTCATTGGATTTCTAGATGACTAACAACAGAGATTAGACTGATTTGAAACATGTTTATAATTATGAAAAGGGCATCAAAACAATAGAAAAACTTTTACGTTACAATACTGTACGCTTAGTTCAAATGAATATGTTCGTCTGAATAAAATCTGTAACTGATTTACCGAAAAATGTAAAAATTCTTTTGAAAAAAACCTTAAGAGATTAACCGAATTCAAAAGGATAATCGTTGAAGTGTGAATACGAAATTATTTGAATAAACAACAAAGCAGTGTTTTGGGTAACAAAAGAAAAAACCAAATAAAATTTATATGAATATCAGGCAGATTAAAATGACGTATGCATAAGCAATGTATGCATGTAAAATTATTCAGGCATATATTATATATTTAGAATATGTTCCTGTATTAGTAAGATGTAATGGTAAAAATTATTTATTGTTCGGTTTATTTTTTGCAATTTTTTTCATTTTATTCTTCAATTTTTGAAATATTTCACAAAATCTAATCTAGTTTTCGCAAAACTCTACTTGCCAATGCATTTTTGGACAGATGTTATTTGTGCCATTCAATAGGTAATCTTGAGCAGTATTCATAACGGATTGTGTAAAGTGGATCAGGATTTAGGTCAATTTATGTATTTCATTATCCTATGCATTGCTGGAAATACCAAAATTTCAGAGCCGTAAAAAATTAAGATGTTACCGAGTGAGAGAACAGGTGTCGTCAACCGTTTTTGCGGAAGGAAAGATTAAATTATAAAGTTTTATGATCTAGACTACGATAATGATCCTACTTGTTTAATGGCATTTTTAAGTCAAGTACACAAGAGAGAGCTTCACAAAGTTTTTAGATATCATTTCTGAATAATTAATGGTTTATTTATTAAAGAAAGGACTGCTGTTAAAGTTTCCTCCCCATTGTGGTCCAAGCTTCCGAGTTCAATGGCAAAATGTTCTCAGTTGCCTCTTCCCGAGACTTTTCTCCTCTCGAATAATTCAGGGATTATTCATAAAAGAAATACACTTAACTTTAAGGTTATAAGCCGCCTTATGGCCCAAGATCGTGCCTCTCTCTTCTATAAATTTTATTTCTCTAAACCTTTTCACGAACTTTATAAGATATTTCATTTCGGGGCAATTGATAAATACAGAGAGAACAATAAAAAAATAAATTTCACATTTGAAACGATTAAAAATAGTCGACTACTTATGCGTAATTTGTGCAAAGGACCTGCAAATTCATGTGATACTATGTAGACGATAGCAATTGATTTTGATGAAAATGGCGGCTTATATAACTATCACTGTTTGTAATAGTGAGTATATGGTATTCTTCTCGAAGTAAGCAAAGGTTATTTACCTGTTTTCCGTAATTCCATAAATAAGGAAATATTTAATTGTTATCCTTGTTTTCCTTTAAAAGCCGCTTGTAATTTTGTCTGTTGTTGCATTTTAGTGATGTTATTCCCTTAAACTTGAAAATTGTTGACAACATTTTTATTAGTGTTAAATTGAGGCATTATTCTATTAGGCTCGACAGAATACTTTTTAAAATATACCCACCGTAATTGCTACTTTCGTATTATTATGAGCATAACTTTTGTCATTAAATTAACAGGACACGTGGCTGCATACACAATAAGCATTGAATTTGTGTTCTTTAAATTGAAGGTAATAGTCGTAGTAAAAGGAGAAGAGGCTACGCTCAAAACTGATTTGATAAAATTTTCTCAAATGACATAAAAAAAGACGAGTAATGTGTTTAATTTTACTCATAAATTGTCTTTTTAATATTTTTTTCCTCCTCTTTTCATACTATTTCAATGACAGTTGAAGTTTCACTGGTATTTATTGGCGCCATCTTGTGTCTTTAAGGTTAAGCAACAAATTTTGATGATTTTCATTTTTGATTTTACTGTTCTCCACTAGAGGGCGCATATACTTATTATAGTAACAATGCTATCGCTACATTTATGCTCTACTTACTGAGACAATTAAGCATCTTATAATATACTTATGCACTGTCAATAACTCCTGGAACTGATTAATCTCGTCGGTAAGAAGGAATTCCTAGTATTTTTAGAAAGTACTGTGCCTCCTACCATACCGGTACATTTATGCTCTAGATCTTAAAAGAGTACAATTCCATAATTTTTTTATACCTAGAACAGGATGATGTTTTTAAACATAGTACATACGTTTTCTAATATAGCTGTTCTGTTTTAACATAGTTTGTTCGCTTTTTTAACATAATTTGGCCATGAAACAATTTTACTAACTCAAGAACTAAAAGCAAATCATCGCTTAGAAGTGAAAATATTAAAAATTTATGTATATGTTGTCATCCGCTTCCTCGCCCACAAAATTCTTATAAACATGCATACACAAACATTATATATAAGTAGAAGGATTATATTCCTTCCGTCAAAACGTTTCCAACATGTCAACATTTAATTATTAATAACTTACAATAGATACACAAAAAAATTTCCAAGTAAGTTCTCTTAAAAAGTGGAAAAAATCAATCACGCTCACCAATTTTGTCCTTGTTTTTTTAAATTGAGAATTGTGGGGATTAAAGGATTTGTGCACAGATGAATATAATTTTCTCGCTTGTTGTTGTCTACTTTGTAATTCACTATCGATTACCATGCGTAGTAAATATAGCGTTGCTTCTAATAAATAATTCGTCATTCAGCTCGTTAAATTGCAAACAAGTAGTGGAAACCGCTGTAAAAGGGCGAACAAGTAGTGGAAGCCGCTGTTAAAATGCAAAGTCGTCGGGGAAACGCAAAGTAATGTAAGAAAGCTCTGTTAAAATGTCAAATAAATCAAAGTTTTTGAAAAATGTATGATTAGTTCACGTTATATTTGCAGACATACGCATTGGGAAAATACTAATGCAGACAAATAAAGAAACCGAAGAACCAAGATTGTATTATCTACGATTGCCAAAGTAGTATTAAATGTTTGTAGAAGTTGATCGTTTTCAATTAATTAAGGTTTCTAAATCTTTGTTTTTTGGATTTAAAAAAAGCAACTTAGATTAATACGTGAATGGATGCATATTTATTTTATTAATGAAATTTAAATAAAAATATAATTTTCCAACTTTTTTTATAAAAAGTATATGTTTCGTTTCTATATTTCCTGTTTAGCGGCTTTGTGGTTACTGTTAGATTACTTATTTCTATACCGGGGATATATTAATTTTGTCAAAAGGTTTGAAACGCGCAGAAGAGAGCTTCAAAGACCCCAAACGTTATTAATATTCTTCATTAGTATTAAATTCTGAATCGATTTAGACAAGTCCAGCTGCACGGTTATCCGCCTATATAATGTCCGTTGTAAACATTCTCCTACCTCCAAAAGTGAAGCTAAGTGTACAAAGATTTGACGGGCGATGCTAGTGTACCTGTATAAAAAATCAACTACACCTAATCAATTTCGTAGTATGGCATAATTTCATTTCTTTCTACAAAATCCCTATAACGAATGGAAGCAGGCTTCAAAAACCCCATAAAGTGTTTAAGTTGTTGGCGAGTTCTAAATGTACCTAAGGATGACGACCCTTTCATCTATTCATCTCTCCGTGTGCGCATCTGTCTAAAAGAATTCATTGAAAATCTCCATCGTTCACATTTTCATTTTACTTCGTTCTTGGAATTGGTATTATTGTAGAAGTAAACCTTCTAAACACTTGTTTGAAGTTACTCGCGGTATGAAATGAAAAACTGATAATCGATTGAAAATAGTTTTAATAGTTTTCAGATTATTTTAAAGCACGAAAAGTTATAAATTAATTGAATATGTTAAAGTTATTTATAGTTATAAATTAAACTATCATATATGTCAGCATATGTGGTTTTTTTCATTCATATCTGGACGATTTCATTATCAATTAATTGTTAGTTAAAAATTTTGTATATAAAAATGCTAAACATATTTGTTAACTTAGAGTACCGAACATGTGGAATCTCTGCGACAACGCCGGCTTAAACAAGCACGCAAACTTTGGTTGCCCGACAACTCAGTATTGCTTATGTATTGTTGGCTAGGCGCCTGGCAACTGTGTAAGCTATTGTTTCTCAGAACACCGTATAGGGGTGATGAAAGACTTAACTGCGATTGTTGATGATGCATAAAAAGGGGCATAATTGCTTCTGGTTGCAATTGTTGTTGATGGTGGGCTAATACGGGGCTGAGAGCAGGACTGGGCAATAATATGGTACTAATGCTTTGGCCTCATATGCCCTGCAAAAATCTTCGTAGCTCCTCTTCGGTATCAAAAATCATAACGGGAAAAGGTGAGCCTGGTACAAATTCGCCAGCCCACTTCACTTCGACACGATAGTCACCGGGTTCGGTCGGATCGTACTACAAAAAATTAGAAATTTGATTATCATCGCAAAACTTATTCTCATACTCTTTTTGAACTAACCTTGCACAAAATAGTACGATCCTTTTGAGACTCACGTTGCATTTCAACCCTAAACGCTCCTTTTGGGCCACGAACTCTTACAGTTAACTGGCCAGCTCCAGCACCTCGAGTGTCACATATAAATCGTGATTGGAAAGTAGCTAGAACACCATGTTCAATACCTGGACCGTACACTCTTACCTAACCAAATTTCTTAATTGTGGTTAATGAAAAGAAAATATTTATGATTTTTTAACCAACCTTGCTAGCGTCTGGCGCTCCAGCCACCTTAAGAGGAAAGGGTGAACCTGGTACATTCTGACCACCATATTTTATAGTCAGCAGATGACGTCCGGGCTCTTGCGGCTTAATGTTCAGTGTGAAGGTAGCGTCTCCATGATCGTAAAGCTCGCAATAAGCCACCTTACGTGGGCCAGCGCAATGTGCTGTTAATTCTCCGGGACCAGCTCTCCTAGTATCAATCCATGATTTGATATCTTTACCTACTATGCCATGTTTTAGACCTTCGCCCGAGCAAATGACCTTTGAAGCATCCATTGACGAGCCGACTGCCACAGTGAGTGGGCATCCCTTAATTAAACGTCCATTCCATTTTACAGATAGAGTTAAAGGTCCTGAAGAAGATTTTTGCGGTGTATAAGAGGCGAGCCAAATAGCTTCGTTTGGACGGGGTTGGGCTAAGCTAACTGGCACCGCTGTGTTATCCTGATGCACTAAAATTACCTCAGGTCTACCTGCAGGTGCATCGCTGGCGTCTATAGTAAAATGTGCTGCTTCTCCTGCTTGCGCGGCTGCCAAACCTCGTCCAGTTAACATAACCCGATCAGCAGCTTGCTGCCCGGTTACAAAGGCACTGCGCGGACATTGAACAACTGTTAAACTACTCCAGGTTAAGTCTAAATCATGTTCACCAGCACTCAAATTATCGCCGCTGATGTATAAACGTAATTTTCCATCGGGAAGAGTTTCTACCGGTATTTCGATGCCATCTATGGTACAACTCAGTTCTCCAGGGCCAGCATTTTCCACGTCAAAAACTATGCGTGCTGGTAAAATCAAACGTCCTTCGTGATCCAATAAAGTACCCCACCCTCCTACTGGGGTTACTTTAGAAGACTCTACACACGATATGTGCCAAGGGGAGCCAGGAAGATTGCCTCTACTCGGACAGCTAGCCCTAATTTCATAGCGACCTACTGTGAGAATTGTATAAGAAATACGCCATTCATTGTTTCCTAAGGATTTAATTTTCGGCTCGATGCGTTCGCCAAACTCATCAGTGCGTTCAATCTGAACGTTGGGCGGCACTGGACAGTAAACTATGAAGGAGGCTTCTTTGTTGCGGTGGCAAACTTCCAAACCATTGCCAGCAGCGCGGCTATCGTTTCTCGCACCAGATGTGGCTGCTGTGAAGATGTAGGGAGATCCCTGCAGTGTTTCACCACCGTACATTAAGGTCAATTTATAGGTACCCGGTTGCGTTGGTACGAATTCCACGCTGTAAATGCCTTCCGATTGCTCAGTAACATGGACAGGCACATTTTGATTAGTAGGTGAAATAGAAAAAGCTTCCATTTCAGCAAGACCGGCATTCTCCGTACGTACCATGAATGATATGGGACTGTGCAATGCCATCGGACCCTTTGGAACACCTTGCACTGTGACCTTGCTGGTATCAAACGCTTCGCAAGTAAACGGACTGCCCGGTAAAGGTTTTGATTGATGAAGCACCTCTAAAAGAATAAATGGTATAAAAGTACTTTTTGATTTACTACGGTACCTACCAATAATACATTGTCCCGGCTTTGTGATGGTGAATTCAGCTTGCAAATGACCACTTTTAGTTTGATAACATCTTACAGGTAACGCTTGACCGCCAGGTCCGGAGACTACTACGTCGAATTCTCTACCCGGCCTCTTAGTTGTGTCGATGGCAAACGAAGTAGTTTTTCCCACTCTGGCTTGATAGAGACCCAAGCCACTTACATTGATTTCCTTGCCTGCTCCAGGAGGGAAGACATTAATTTCCAAAGGTTTCAGGGATATAGGAACATCGTTGAACAAAATAGTGATTTTGTGAGGAGCTACACGCGTTGGATGATATACAATTTCATAGTTTCCATTTTTGGAAGGACCTCTAATATTGTGAGGAACCTCCGAAGCACCACATTTTACCATAGCTGAAAGTTCACCTTGACCCGCTTCATTCAAAGATACCGATAGGATAGCCGGACGATGACAGAAGGCTTCTCCCACTTCAGTTATTTTAACCAAAGATGGATCAAATACTGTTAACGTTCGGGAACCGACATGTTGCCTTGTTTCGCGGTCTATAAAACGCATTATATAATTGCCAGTAATATGAGTGCGAAATTCTGCTGTTTGCCTATTAATAGTGTATGGTACTGGCTTGTGATCAGGACCAATAATTTCTGCAACTTGATCATCTGAAGGAAAGTCGATCATAGCCAAACTGCCAATCTGAATAGTTTGAGCGGTTTGTTGAATATCCACACGGAAAGGACTACCATCTACGGGCATCTCATTAAAAGTTATATTAACATAATGTGGTTCCGTTGTCTGGGGTATAAAAGTAACATCGTAGAGACCACGGGCGCAAGCCACCACTTCTGCTTTTACGGTACTACTATCAGTGGAAACAACCAATTCCAAAGTACCTTCACCGGCGCCGGCAGCGTCTACGCTGAAAGTAACCGGTACACCTAAGGCGGCCGGACCATATTGTTGATCTAGTCCACTAATCGAAACACAAGAAACATCAAATACATTGCAAGAAAAAGGCGAACCATTTATATGCTGATCTGACGCGGTTACACTAATTAAATGTCTACCCACAATCGTGGGTCGAAAAGTAGCAGAGAAAGTATCGCCTTGACCTTGAACATGGCAGGGAATATTTTCGCCAGTAGGTGAAGTAACAAAAACTTGGGGTTCGATACCATCGAATCCATCTAAATCGATAGAGTTATCAACTCTGACGGCAGCCTGCTTTAAAGCCTCTCCTGAGGCTATGGCTCTTGGAAGACTTATGGGAGCTGGCGAAATGCTACAAGTAAAAGGCGAACCCGGTACTGGATGACCGTTAAAACGTACCGATAAAGAATGTGGGGCCGCCTCGGTAGGCTTAAAGTTGACTTTGAAACGAGCATTGCCTTCTGACTGCACAAAATTGGGTACATTTTTACCATTGACAGCGACTATAATTTCTAGATTACCAGCGCCCGCCTGGCTAGCATTTATGCCAAAGCTAACGCTCTTGCCCACAACACCAGGCCTGATATCAGTGACAATAACTTTTTCGGCTGAGTACGCTTTCAAAAGGAAAGGACTATTTTCGACATGACCACCGCCAGGCAAACGCACCTCTACTGAATGGTCGCCCACCTCAACTGGTTCAAATTTTATATTGTAACCTACGGCGACAGCATCAATTTTAACTGGAACACTGCGCCGTGCGGGTCCCAATACTTCTACGGTTGGTTTGGTGTCTGATTCTACAATAAATTCAAACATGCGACCTACACTGACTTTATCCATGGTCTCCGGTGATTGTATCCGAGCAGCAGCCGAGACACGACACGTAAAAGGAGAACCCGGCACATCTTGACCATTGAATCTTAACTCTACTGTATGATTGTGAGCTTCACGTGGCGTAAAACTAATTGCATATGTGTGTTGACCTTGAGCCTGGGCAGAGGTGGGTACACGACCCCCATTTACAGTAACCTCCAGATTGCCCGGACCGGCTTGTGAAGTTTCGACGAGAAATGTAACTGGTTTACCAACAGTGCCGTTATTGACGTTTTTCACTTTAATGGCGTTAACATCGTACACCTAGGTAGGGATTGAAAAGTGGTATTCGAGCTAGAGAGTCAAGAGAAAATTAAATTAAATCGTACCTTAGCTGCATAGGGGCTACCAGCAGTGGCTAAACCGCAAACAGTAACATGTACGCGATGTTCGCCTACCACACGCGGCACAAACTCAGCTTTGAAGACACCCTCTGCCGACTGATGAACCTGTGCTGGCACAGATTGTCCAGCGGGTCCTGGTTTTTGTTTTAATTTTAAATCGTTTTTTTTTTTCATTTATTTGAAACACGAGTATTCATTCAATTTTATTTAATTTTTGAGACGTCGTAAATATTTTTTTATGTAAAATTAAATTTAATAAAATTTGTTGTTTTGTTGTCGTTGTTGTTTTATTTATATTTTTATTTAAAAAAATTTTAACAATTGCTCATTAGGTTAAAAATTGATTTGTTATTAAGAGTATTAGTGTTTTTTTTTTTCGTTGACGACAGACGTAAGTAAGTAAGAAAAACAATTTGGAAAATTTTTCAATTAATGATTTTATTAAAAATGATTTTTCACAAGATGGATAGAGAAAAAGCGAAAGCTGTTTCGCTCATTCGGCCATTAGACAGACAATAGTTTCAAGAAGGGATTAGTAGTAGCCTTAAAATTGTTGTTGTATAATACAAAATTATATACAAATATTTCACCACCACCTTCTTACTGTTCTCCCTAACTTTGATAAAAAACGAATATTTCAGGCATGTCGGATATTCTTTTAATATTTAAAAAAAAAAAAATTTTTTTTTCCTCTTACAAAATTCTTCGTAATATAATTCAGATTAATAGAGTTAGTAGTAGGTTAAAAAAAAATTCCTTACTTTGCGTAGATTAGTAAAAATTTTTTTTCCTCTTTTAGTGCTTATCTTCACTTAACACTTTTGCCTGACAATTTATGTAATACGGGGAAACGCGCAGTAGATATTATGTTAATAAACTTTCATAAGGATATGAAATACTTTTGTATACGCATAATGGTAATAATTTGAAGAAAAAAAAAAGAAGAAATATATAATAAAATTCTAATACAATAGTCTTCGTCGTCCTGAAATATAACACAAAGATATAGAAAAAGAGATAATAAAAATTTATAATATACAGAATTAAAAAGAAAATTTATATACAATTATCAAACATACAGTTACACAGCTAAGCTCACACAAGAACAACAATTAAATATCAGATTTGAGGGACTTTCACATCCGTATGTAAAACTAAAATGATATCAAAGGTGTTTATGCACCTATCTAACAGCTTTGAGTTTGTGAAAAGGTACTTAGAAAATCTTTTCCTCTCACATTCAAATACTTTTAATGAAAGGCTACTCTTTCAATTAATTGATTAATATCGATTCGCTTAAGGTGAGAGAGCGAGAGAAAGAAAGATAAGTTATAGCTTTATAGAAATAGACAGATCAGGGGAAAATTTATCATAATTTTGTTAGCGTAATATTTTCTATAAGTAGCGGAGTAGAAGACGCACATACCAGTTTCATAATTTCGCGATATAAGAAACCCTAAACAGGGCCTACGTAATTTGAAAATTCGAAATTTGCCTGAATACTAATTCAACTGTCAAAAGATCCCTTTCGTTTCTATCAGCCACGTTTTTGTTTCGAATAACACCTAAGCCGACTTAACGATGTGTTGCCCATTCGTCAGCGTCATTATTTCTTGTTTCCCAGCATTCGTTTATGTTTGTAAAATTGAGATGGAAAGCGAAATATGATGGAATGGCCCAGTCTATTTCCGGTCATTGTAAAAATGGTTGTTGACAGTTTAGAAAAAAAAGGTAAACCGACTTAACGATGTCTTGTTGTTCCGGCATTCGCCCGTTCGTAAGCGTTACGATATATTTTCTACTTACTGTCGTATGTTTATATTTACCGAATTAAGAGGAAAAGCGAAATGTAATGCGATGGGTCGTCCATTAGAGGTCGTGTTGTAATGGTCATTGTCCGTTTAGCATAAAACCTAAGTCGACTTAGCGAAGTAATACTGTTTATCCGTTCGCCCGTGCGTCAGCGTCCCGATTTGTATTCTCGCTGCTGTCTGTCGTCGTTTGTTCATGTTTGTGGTATTGAGAAGAAAAGCAAAATATGATCGAATGGGACGTCTATTACAGATTATTGGAAAAATGGTCGCTGCCCACCATCCAACAACAGTTAAATCTGCAATAAGCGTAATTATACACTCCATTAATGCAGAGGAGACGTTTGTACAAATTTAGCAAACTCATACGAAAAGTGTATCTATACGTGTGCGCCCCTATTGTCTTACTGACATGCCCCTAGTAAATAATTTCAAGTCTAATCTTACCGTGAACATTACATTTCGTATTGCTATGCCTATATTCTCATACTAACTACAACTTTTTGTTATTACTATTATTATAGCTTGTTTAGACGAAAGAAATACATTCTAGGACTAAACAAGTAGGATGAGCACTAGCAGCCAAGAGTACTACTTTACTACTTTTATGTTTCTGAGAACACTTAGTTTACTGCACATAGTGCCACATAGCCCTTATCTCTTTAATGTTAGAAAACATCGTTCTATGAAAGAAGGAGTTGCGCTGATCTATTCGCTAACGGTTAAAGTGTTATAAAGAAGGTTTAAAGCGTTAAAGCGTTTTATTATGCCTACTCTGTAATATTTTTACTATCAGTAAACGTTCGTTGTAATCCCAAGAATTCCGGCAAAAGCATCACAACATGCAAAAATTGGAGTAAAATCTCTTCCTTTTTGATTCGCATGTTTAAAAATCCCGGCTATACCAGGGAGCACATAATCTCTAAAAGAATCAATGCAAGATATTTCAATTTAATATAATATAAGAGATTGATTTTGGGCAAAGAATATATCAGGAGAGTGAAATAGATTTGAATTTTTGCATTATATTGATTAATTCTGGAACTCGGATCGAATAGGAAATAGGGAAAAATTCAACACTCTTATGAATTCTTGTGAATGTTTCTTCTCTCAACGCTCTTCATAACATGATCTCTTTACCGTAAAAGTGGATATTCGTTACAGAATTATTGCCATCACTGGACGACTTGGTTTTTTATTAATAACGCGCTTGCGTAAAGAGCCCTTCTACGGGTCCGAACAAAAAAGATAAACAGAGCAGGAAGGGAAGAATAAAAGAAAATACTCCTTAAGGCAAGCATTAGCTCTCATATCAAAACGTATCCGCAGTATCCATCCAAAAATGCTTACGAAATAACATTAATCTGGGCAGATATGGATGGATGGGCCTGTATTAAGAAAACGTAACTTTAATAAGACGTTTCGTCTCCGCTGCCATTACCGCGAAGAAAAGTTCCATAATTGATTTAAATAAAAGCCTTGATAAGCAATTCGCAACCAAACGTCTTCACTAAAGTTTTTAATGACGGACGGAGTTGCTTTTTTATAAAACCCCAATATTCAAATATTCTGTAATAATAAGAATAACGATCTCTATTAATGCATTTGTGTACTGGTTCTGAACTAAAGATAAAAGCTTTTCTTCTAAACTGTTTTACATTAAATTTCACGTACTTAGCTTACCTATCTTAAATTTATTGCGACTTTACTAAACGGATGTGTCATTCTATTGTTATTCCTAACAAGTTAGTATTCAGTGATAGTGATCTAAATGGACGTCATTTATCATTTTCTACGTATAAAATAATAACACTTGCATACGTTGTTGAAGGAGGCGACATTCTTCCGCCTATAAAACTTACACTTAGAAAAGGCGGGAGCTGAAGCGGAATGTTGATTTAACACATACGTACAATTATTGTTTCTTTACATACAAAAAAAAAATATATATATATTTTTTTTACATTTAATAATGAATGACAGACCGACCGAGGTATAGTATCATGCGATTTGTGTTAAAATAAATATTTGCATTCATTTTTTTTTTTTTTTTTTTTTTTTTTTTTTTTTTTTTTTACAATTTGAAAGTAAAATCTTTTAAGTGCAGTGCATCCAAGTGAATGATTTGAAAAATGAAAAAAATTTCTTTGGTTTTTTGTTTTTGTTCTTTTGGCAAAAATTGCATGAAAAAATGAAAAATTAACAAAATGGAAATAATTTGTGATTAACACGATAATTTACTGTTGAATAAGGAAAAAAAAAAAAAATAAAAAATTAAAAAAACTTATTTATAATAATTTTTATTGAGAAAACGAAACATTAAGAGTTAAGTATGGAAAATAGTAAAAGAGAGAGAAATTAGTTAAGATTACATTGCAAGACAAAACACTAATACACACATTTGTGGAGATATGTAAATGTATTAAAAATATTTTTTTGTGAGTTTTCTTTCGGGGAATTTTTGATGTTTCGACGCGTATACTTTACCTTCAACATTAACTTCAATGTCTTCTAAGCGGCCGCCGTTGTGATTGATAACAAATGAATTCGATTGGTGAACAGGCCCGGGACCTCCTAAAGATACTTGAGGCCCGGACATGCCACCACTTATATTAACCGTTATCGGACAACCGGGTACCGGCATTTTATTAAACGATACATTTATGGTGTGCTCACAGGCCTCGGTAGGCACAAATGAAACGGAGAATCTATAAAAAATTTAAACAAAAAAAAAACGACTTAGTCAAGAAAGCTTTTAAGCACAAATCGTTTGCTCTCTTACTTGGCACTGCCTTGCGGATGCACTTGGGTCGGAATATTTTGACCCTTAGCTGAAATAGTGATCTCCAAATTACCTTCACCAGCATCGCCAGCATCAACGGTGAATTGCACTGAACGTCCGACGGTGCCGCGTGATACGCTACCGACCACCACTTTAGTGGCATCATAAGATTTAGCCAAAAATGGCGTACCTTGTACCGGGAAGCCATTATATTCGACATTGATTGAATGGCCGCCTACAGTGATGGGCGTAAATTCAGCTGTAAAGCCGGCGTGTATATCACCGGTAACGCGTACCGGTAATTCGCCGTGAGGTCCTCTAACACTAACCGCTAACTCGGCAGCACCATCACCGCTTACCGTAATGTGAAAAGATGCCGGTCTATTTACCGCTATCAACTCCAAATTGGATAAGTTTAACATAACACGGGAAGTATCAGCCACTTGACAAACAAATGGACAACCGCGCACTGTCTCACCATTAAATTTTATGTCAATTAAGTGAGGTTTTGCCTGTTCGGGTGTAAAGGAAACCAAGCAGCGTCCTCCGCCGACCACTTGCACGTGATTCGGTACTTCACCTTCGTTTATTGATATCTCCAACTGGCCCTCGCCAGCAGCACTGGCATCTACCCGAAACTGACAGGGTTGGCCAACTACACCGCCATTAACATCGGTTACCTGAATCAGGCTGGAATCGTAGACTTTGGCTATTAGAGGACCTCCAGATATTTTGGCGCCATTAATTGAAGCTTCTATTATATGCGTACCCACTTCGGTGGGTACGAATTCGATGCGTGCGGCACCGTTTGCCGCCTCGTGGGTGACTCTGGCATTCAGTTTGGATTTATTGGGACCCAAAACTGTGGCCACGCACTCGCCTTTTGCAAGGCTTTGTCCAGGAGGCGGCAGTATGTCAAAAACCGCCGGCGTATTAGCTGGTACTAGGCGCGTAGACTCGCCCAACGCAGTTAAACCGGGCGTGGACATGATTTCAACGTGCCAGGGCGAACCTAGAAAATGCAAATAGAAAAAAAATTTTTTCTTTTAAATTTTAATAAATAAAATCAAACTGTTTTTCGCATAAACTTGAAAGCATTCATTCTTGTATGCAAATGAGAAGAAACCTTTTTTTGAAGAACATTTAGTTACATTCTGTAATCGTAACTGCACGATGAGAGAATTTTCAATAGAGATAGCTATTGTACGGTTTCGCTTGTATTCTAATGCGTCTTTTGTTGTTCTTCTCTATATGTGAGAAGGGAAATTCCAGATTTAAAATCATATCAATTACTAGAGTTAGTGTAGGGTAAAGTTATTTGTTATTGTCATTTGCAAAGCACTTTAACGTAACTACGACTACGATTGCTGATAATCAGTGAAGGAAGGCAAACCGAACTTCCTGATGAAAGGCAAACACGTACTCTCGCATGTAACCGACATTTAAATTGCAGCCATCTGGTGCAGAAAACTCAATTACTATTTTAATAGTTATATATATATATATATGGATATATATATATATATATATATATGGATGTTTGCCTGTACTACTCCAGTTTGCACAGGAATCACAATTTTTTTTTTTTTTTGTTTTAAACAATATTTAACCCCTTTGCAGAGGAAAACACGTTTAAAATAATCAAGCACATGTATGTATGTATGTAAGTTGTTATTTGACTTTTAGTTAAGCGTAAAACATACTGTTAAGCACTGCTGTGCCGAGACAGATAGGCATAAAGGTAAGCAAGCCAGCAGTCAAGTATGCAAACACATTGTCTTCAAGTTACTTTAACGCACAGTTAATCTACGTAATGGTGGCCTTAAATTATACGTTGACTAGTGAAATAACGCAAGGAAAGGCAACACACACTTATGTACGTATTTGTGGTTTTAAGTACTCGTGTGTCGGTTTTCCTGTTTTAAAAAGGCTTTAAACAAGAAAAAAAAAAAATAAAAAAAAAAAATTAACAACAAAAGCAAGACATGAACAGAATGAAGAAAGGAGAATCTTTTTAATTTGACAATGTCATTAAAAGCGCATTATATCACTTAGCGGCCAAGTGCATGTAAGCATTTCCCTATATTTAGTTCACAGTATATACTGTGTGACAAAAGTCTTTCTCCAGCTAAGGGAATATACAGTAAGGGCTAACGCTTTATTTTCTTTTTTACTTATGTTAACTGAAAATGAGGTAACTTTTTTTGGGCAGCATTTCTTAATTTGTCTTAATTTTGGAACTGTTTTCTAATTTCACTTCAACCTACTCTTCACTTTACGTTATCGAACAGAAAAGCATCGGAAAACGAATATAGGAAAACAAATCGACCGCAAATCTCCGCAACTATTCCCCCAAATGCCTCGTAGGAAACATAATTGCTTATGCTTATGGTGTGTCGCATGCGTGCCCTAAGTTGCCGAATCCTGCGCTAGACGATGACTTTTGCTGAGTCATGACATTTGTGTGATGATATATTTTTGAGTGCCATGTACTTGCGGGAAGAAAAATGTTTCTGGAGTGGTGTTCTTTGGTGTACTTGCATGTCACGATGAATTTTTCCATGATATAAAAGAATTAACTTTTACTGTTGTTGTGATAAGTTCTGTGCGAATTCATTCAATATAATATGAATTTTAAACTTTTGTTATGCTCTGACGGAATTCATTGAATACTGTATTAATTTTATTATCCTCTTTGTAATAAGAAATATAATTGTTCTTAATGCATTGGAGACTCCAGTCTAGTCTTCATTAGTAATTTCTACAGTATGTTGGCAACACGTAGCCAATAAAGTCTATCTTATACATAGGACAGACGAATCTTTATCAAACATAAAGCGGTTGATTAATATCGCATTCCTTTCTTACGAAATGCGATCTTTATTTTGTGCGATAATTTATTTAATGATGAAAAAAATTCTTTTATGAAAGACATTAAAAAAAAAAAAAAAATGATACAAAGAGCATCACCCATGGCACCTGCAAGGAAAAAGATCAGTAACTAAAAGTATCGTAATATTTTAATCTGAAAATTTCTAATATAATATAAATTCTATTTTTAAATCGCATACAATCCAACCGAATAGCCGGTTAGGCAAAGAATATCGAGTAATAGCTCAGTAGTTCATATCTCAAGTGCGGCGGAATTTTCAACCAAAAGAGGACAGTGTTAGATGCTAGGTCTTTTAAGATATTAGTCTTAGAATTTTTTTTTCTGGGAAAATTGATAATAACAATAATAATAATGTAACGTAAATCGAACGATTCTACGTCATTTATTCAACTCCTTTTGAAATTAAGTTTGCGCCGCTGACTTGTGATTTTTCGGATATTTACAATTCTGGCGAAATCTAGTTGCAAATTATTTATGTACAGGAATTTATATCTACAACGCTTTCATTCTCTTTCTGGGTTTGTCCCTTCGAATATTGCAATTTAGCTTACTTGACTCAACTGATTTTGCCTTCTGCAAAAATGGTACCCTTTTACAAGCAGGTTACTAGCACGAGCCGCCAGCTACACGAAGGAGGTAAAGTGTCATGATTGTAAGTTTCCGTTTTCTCTTTCTTTGAAATTTTGTTGCTTTGAAAATCGAGTAATTTTCATGAAAATTTAAGTCATCAAATGGGCGATTTTCTCAACAATAATAATAATAGTCTTTAAAACTTTCACTGAAGTCAATTAATTTTGAGAATGAGATATATAGTTACAAAGCCTTTTAAAGTTTCATTGCAAACGATTCGATGTTTTCACAGCCTTTGCGTCTCCAATAGAAGCCAAAGTGAATAATTCAAGAACGCAATATGGTTGGTAAAGTTATCTAACTTTGGTATGTATAAAAGCCTAGAAGGAAATTTCCGTTATCCACTGTCTAAGACTCAAGTCTACTTGTGGTACAAGGGTATATTACGTTTTTTGCGGATACATGCAATGCGCAGAAAACGGAGAGATAGATCTACCTTCTGTTATGCCGATCTAGCTTGTCTGTCCGTCTGTTTAAAATAGACTTACATTTTATTATACCGAATGATAAAGTGATTTTTGAATAGATTTAACTGTGTCCGTCCGTCTGTCCGTCTTATTTTCTTGTGTCCAACCTACAGATCGAAGTTATTAAGTTATTTTGATGAACAATCACGTGCTTTGGCCCAAGAACTAATGGTATGGAAAATGTTTTCAACTGGACCACTTTTTCGATCTGTTTCGTCTTATTTGGAAAAGCTGTTACACAAGTAAATGTAGAATAGTGTAGGGTATTTAATACTTGTGTTTAATTATAGAACGACCTACTTATTCATTTAAGATCACATTGCAGTGAAATTCTTTTTTTCGAAATTTTCCAACCAGTTTTAACATATTTTAAAGACACCGTGCAATTTGTAGATTTCATCTGCGGAAATCAAACAAGATTAAGCAAGCAAGTTTTCAGCCTTTTATCTTCATTTTTGTAACAATCTTAAGTGATACCCAAATGACGCGCAACATATAGACAACGGCGGACAAATAAACCTACAGGCGAAAGAACCGTCAGACGAAAACATGCTACAGAGAATAGGAAGATTAGAATAAAGTAAGCTCGACGTTCACCCTGATTAAGAATACCTCATATCGGCGGATAAAAGATTGGATAGACGTTCAGTATGGCGTGCTAACTGAGAAGATTTTACGGGGATTTTCTTCTTATTGGATGGAAGTCTAGTGCAAACAAAGCTTAGAATTCGTTAGTCCACTCTTAGTCACTTCCAATGACTGCACGGCGTCAGGGGTCATTTCCTCGGAGAATCATCGAAAATGCCAGGGATCGTTTGCCTGCAGACTTCCCCAAGTCAGAATTCAGCTTCAGCGGATGCCCAAGGTATCGTCGGTCACAGGCCTGAGTGCATGCTGAGTTGATATCTGCTCCTTGTACAATAAGTCGAAGGATGAAAGTAGTTGGATGGCATCCCAGTACGGATAATCCGAATGCAAGAGTATGAATATACTGACGCGGGTAATGCCGACAATTCTAAAGCATTATAGACATAAAAATGTAGAATCCATGGGCGTCCGGTTGGCCGCTCGCTCAATGTCATGTGTACCTGCTCGATCGGATAGGGGAGGCTGCATCGGTTAAATACGGACCGAAAAATTTGGTGCTTGCCATGATCGCTCGGGGGATAGATTGCACTTACATATACCGCGCAAGAAACTTGGGTGGAAGCCGGTATGTACAAACAAGAACTAGACAATATGGATTAAAGAATGGGTTTCATATGCTTGTCTCACAATGCTTGTCTCAAATGGTCCATTTTTAACTGACTAACTCGGAAAGTACTCTTGGCTGTTGTGGTTATCACCAAATTCGTAACAATATGTTAAATTGAACACTAATGCCTATATCATGAATGAAAGCCACTTATTAGCTAAAAGAAAATTTGACAGTTAATATAAAATCTCTGCAATTGTAGTACATTTTTTTCGGTATCAGTGATTACCCAAGATCCGCCCTAAACCTACGGCTAAATATCAGATAGGCAAAAAAAAAAACAAATAATTGTGTTTTTTTTTTTTTTAATTATTATTAACTTGGCACTTTGCTACTGCAAATTGTGAATGTCATGACAGTAAGAGCAACAGCTATTATTAAGTGAGCATTTAAATCTACTTTACGTCATTCGTGAGCATTTGAAGTTTATTTAATGCCCATTATTGTTATTATAATTTCACGCGCGCAAATAACAAAAAAAAAAAAAAAAAAAAAAAAAAAAAAAAAAAAAAAAAAAAAAAGCAATAAATGCATTATAAATGTACTTTAATTGGATTAACATGAACTTAAGGCATTAGAGCGGCCAGCTTACTTAATTACTTTCGTTTTTGGTAAAGAAAAGAAGAGAAAAATGGGAAAACAAGTAACAAAAAGTTATCTTTGCCTTCAACTAAATTTTCATTTGTTAGTCATAGTAGCTTTAGTCGGTAATCACTTATCATTTAAACTTATTCGAGTTTTATTTATCCGATATATATTTATTCCAT